TAGCTAAGGCCACACGGCCACACAGTCCCAGAGGCGGGAGGAGAACCGTATGTCCTTACTACTCGTGTAGTACGCTCCTCTAGTTCCACATACGCTGCTTCTCTGGGTCTGGATTGATCAGCAGGGCTGTATTTTTTCCTTGTGCTTCACACAGACTTTAAATAAAAATAACTCCATAAAGTATTAGACTTTATTCAAAAGAAAGGTACCTTGTGAGTGGAAATACACACACACACAGACACACACACACACACACGCACACACGCACACACACACGCACAGACACACACACGCACACACACACACAGACACACACACACAGACACACACACACACACACACACACACACACACACCCCACCAGAGACCCTGCCTTTCTCCCACCTCTGAAATCCCTAAAAGTAAGCCAGTGGTGGCCACTTCCTAAGCGTGGACCACGTGGGGGTCCCTGTGCTGAGTGTTTCCCATGTGTAATCCCAGTCAAATCTCTCAGCACGCGCTCAAGCGAGCACCACCTGCATTTACGGATGAGGACAGCTGAGGCTCAGAAAGTTTCAGTGACTCACCCAAGTCAAAAAGAAAGCCTTAAGTCTAGGACTTCAATTCCAGTCTTAGCTCACAGTGTGGACCCAAAGTCACTGCCTTCTGCTGCCTCCATCTCACTCTGCGAGCATTTGTCGGTGTCTATGTGGGCTTATGTCCAAGGATGCTGTTGTCAAGATTACATATTTTTATTGGTCCATCCGCCTTCCCCGTGGTTTCTGCTCATGGCAGAGCTGTGTCCCTCAGGTCTCTGAAACACCCCACAGTGGATGACCCATAATTGCTTATAGATGCAGCGGCAGCTACAGCGGCCGGCAGGACAACGTTGGGTTGGCTTCTGCCAAGTTCCCGCTACCAGAGGCTCTCTGAATAAAACACGCACAGAGGGAGCTGTGCTGGGCCAAGGAGCCGAGCAGCCCTGGCCTGTGTCTTCCCTAGGCTCATTCACATTTTATAAATGCACACTTTGCCATGCAGCCTCGGGGCAAATGGATTAGGTTCTGAATTAACCAAGTGAAATGGTATAATACACAAGCAATGTGAAAAGGAGAAAGAAGGCAAGAAAGGAACATGAGCTTTGCCGAGTAACGGAAAACCTACAGACGGGCTTATTGAATGACATGGGAGGGCGCTTAAGAAATAGTGTTGGGTGAAAAAAATTGGTCAGACACTGTATGAATGGCTCAAGACCACTTTCACTTAAATGTATGTTTAAAATATGTATTGGAATATAGATACATAGGTACAGATCTATCATGTAGATATATGTGCATATGTACATATACATATTTACATATGTATATTCACAAGTATTATGCTAACAGTGGCAATTTTTGAATAAGATTACCACTAATTTTTATACAATCTGTTCTACATTTTTATATAATAAACATCCATTCCTTTTATAAAAATAAGCCCATAGGCCAAGCACAGTGCTCACACTTGTAATCCCAACACTTTGGGAGGCCGAGGTGAGCAGCTCGTCTGAGCTCAAGAGTTCAGGACCAAGCTGGGCAACATGGCAAAACCCTGTCTCTACAAAAAAATACAGAATTAGCCAGGAATGGCAGCATGTGTCTGCAGTCCCAGCTACTCAGGAGGCTAAAGTAAGAGGATCACTTGAGCCCGGGAGTTGGAGGCCAGAGAATTGTGATCGCATTACTGCACTCCGGCCTGGGTGACAGAGTGAAACTATATTTCCAAAAAAAAATCTATACAGTTCAAAATAAAGGCATGTGCCTTCCCAGGCGCAATGCAGTTTCAAGAGCTTCTGTGGGTGGTCTGGAAGAACTAAAGAGGTCATGGCAGTGCCCCCCTCACACCAGGACTCCGTCTCCAAGCTTCACAGCCTCCCTGTTGTGAAAGCCCTCCCTGACCCAGCGGAGGCCCGCCCGTTCCCGGTCTGCCAAGGGCAATGAGAGACAGGAGCCCAAGGCCTATCCATTCATAGACAGGTATGTCTAATTGGGAGCAATGGAGAAAGCCTGCCTGTGTGCGAAATAGCTCTGCAGGGAATGGCAAAATTAAAACATCACACAATCTTAGACCTGAACCCACCAAATAGAAGGTACCATTTTCACTAAGTCCCAGGCAGCAGTGGGAGAAGCCAAACTGGAAGTGTTCACTCCCTGGGCATCCAAGAGACCAACAATAGGGAGAGGGGACATCTCACCTGAGCAGCTTTAGAAACGACCAACACCAGGAACCCATCCACTGTGATTCTGACCCACTGGCTAGGGGAGTAGCCTCGCTGCTGAAATTTTTTAAAGATCCCCATGTGATTCCAACATAAAACCAAAGCTATGAACCACAGCCATTGGGATGTCCCTGCCGCAGGGACATCCCAATGGTAGGCAAGGAGAGGACCCCAAGGCAGAGAGCAAGTAACATCCTAGAGATATGGTGTGGGGCAAGCAGGAGCAGACCCAGGGCCAACAGTCGGGACATTAGGAGATACTGACAGTAACCCATAAGCAAAGACCCAAGCTGCTAGACACACAGAACCAGGTAGCGGGACTCCAGCCTGAAAGTCACAACTAGACTCCAGGTTCTGAAAGATAAGCCATTCTCTTAAGAAAACCCTTGCTCACTAAGGACGAGGAGTGTGCCTTGCTTGTATCTGTATCCCACAGTGCCTAGCCCTGGGCCAGCACAGAGCGGGCCCTCCATGGAACCCACAGAATGGCAGACATCCCCAGATACACTCCTGCCATTTGGAGAAGACACGCACGCTGAGTTAGCAAGTAACAGCCACTATCACTACCTACCTGGAGTTCACAGTCTACACTGGGATCTTGGACACAGCACAAAAGGAGATTCATTGCCCATTTTCCTCACCTCTGGCCTATCAGCGTTCAAACCTGGTGATCCTAAAAGGAATAGCCTATATATGCAGTGGGTGTTCCTAACAACTCCCACCTCCCGCTAGTTCCCATCCTCCTCACTCTATGCTCCTTCTAATCTACCCTCTTCAACTGACAGAATCAGAGAACGTTACAACTGAAAGGGATCCTTGGAAGCCCTTAATCCAAATCCATCCAATTATAGAGGATAAAAGTGAAGCTCAAAAGATATCCAAAGATAAATCAGAGTGTAGCCAGGGCTAGAACCCAGATTTCTATGCCATTCCATGACACTTTCCAAAATAAAAATTTCAGAGGCCAAAAAATAGACTTGAGTCTCCCTCACTGGAAGCTAAAGCTTTGCTAAGCCAAGCGTGGCTGGCAGACCAATAGGACCAGCCTCATACAAGGAGCTTGGCCGAAATGCAGAACCTCAGGCCCTAGCCCAGACCTATCAAGTCAGAATCTGCATTAATAAGATCCCCAGGGCTCCACATGCCCCATAAAGTTCAGGGAGCTACAAAGGAGAGAATTCTCTCTCTAATCCACTTGCACAGTCAGGCAAGAAAGAATCCCTCCCTCTCTGCCCATCCACCCCTCACTATTTTCCAACCCAACAGAGTGTCTGGAAATTGATGGCAATAACAAAACAACAACAATGCTCCCATTTCTAGTCAGCGGATGCTTCTCCCCCCATGCATGGGGAGTCTTTGCAAGGTACTTAAATGTCCCTGTTAAGCAAACAGCACAACCACGCATGCTAGAACAGGTGGCAGATCACTGGTGAGGGCCCGATGAGCCCCAAGCAGGGCTGGGTCATTAAACACGGCAGTGGACAGGTGCAGCAGCCAGACCTCACATTGAAGGCAGGGAAAATTGGGGTGTTCAGTCACCTCACCAATGGAGCATGCTGTGGGGGGACAGAAGAGGAGACAGTGACCTGACCCCAACCTCACCAACCTCAATTCGTGGTCCTTCATCCTTAAGCTACCTCATATCTGACATGAAGCGAAAAGCTGTCCTTCCTGAAGCTCCTAAAAGAAGCAGGTACCGTAATTCTTGTTTCACAAGTTCACAGCGATAATCAAATAAGAACATGAAAGTGAAGCGCCAGGCACAGTGCCAGAGGCATTGTGGGAGCCCAATCGACGAGAGCTTCCCCTGCTATGTTTTTGCCCGCAACCCTCCTATCCCTTTCAGCTTCAAGATTTGTGCTCTGGCAGAAAGAGGTTGGGGGCTGGGAGGCCGGGAAGGCGCAGGCTCACAGCCTTAGCTTCCCACTGAAAATCACCAGAGCAGCTTTAGAAACGACCAACACCAGGAGCCCATCCACTGTGATTCTGACCTACTGGCTAGGGGAGTAGCCTCGCTGCTGAAATTTTTTAAAGATTCCCATGTGATTCCAACATAAAACCAAGGCTATGAACCACAGCCAGAATGGGACCTGTGGATTACTCGCAGCTTTCCTGAATGCTGCAAAAATCATAATGATTTCGCCCCTCCACACATTAATTGAGTGATGACTACAAGGCCAGGGACTGAGCTAATTTGCTTTATATACATAATTTCATTTAATTCCCATAAAACCCTGCATGATAAGAATTATCCCTCTCATTTGTCAGCTGAGGGTGTGGAGGCCCGAATGGTCCATAAGTCACCTTAAGTCCCACAGCTCCCAGGCAGCAGAACTGAGAGTCAACCCCAGACTGTCTAGCTCTAAATTTTAATGAGCCTCAGTAGCATCACTGGGGAAAAAATCTTAGTGTTGGGGCATGGGAAAAAAAGCCATAGGACTAGCCAGATACTGCACAAAGTGGTGGGTAAAGAAAGAGGCAGTAAGGAAGAAAGAACATCACATAAGCATGGAGGTGAGATCTTAGAAAAAGGCAAGTCAGCCCTAGTCTCTTCCTGTCTGTGGGCACCGTGGAGTAGGCAGAAGGAAGAAACTCAAGGCAAGAGCTGTTAGATGGAGCAGAGCATTCTACTCCAGAATATCCCTGTCTCCATCTTACAGGCAATCCGCAGGCACCGAAAGGAAAGATCCCAGATTACAACTTCATCACAGTAGTAACAAAACTAGGCACGGTCAGAGGAGCAGCTCCAGGTTCCAGCCCGTTGGATGCAATGCCCAAGGGGCCCAGAGGACATTCATGAACCCTATGCTTTAGGCGGCCTGCTGACATGACTGTTTGCAGTGAGCAAACCCAACAGTCTACTGGGAGGGGCAGAGCACTAATCAAATGCTCCTGTCAATAACTGCGCAAACTGCTACAGAAGGAAGGTGCATGAGGCACCTCAGTCTTAGGGAGCATGGGACACGGTTGGCAGGAGCGGAGACCCTATAGCACGGTGAGGCTGGGGATGCAGCAGGGGCTAGACCACCCTGGGCCGAATTTTTATTTCAGAACCAGGAGTCTACTACAGAACCCAATTTTCATTTCAGAACCATGAACCTGCTACTGTGACTGCAGAACAGGGCACACACTGAAGGGGCCAGGGCCAGAGGTGTGTAGGAGGTCTGGCTAGAAAGCTAAGGTGGAGCCCAGAGGGAATGGGGGCGTGGCAGTGGGCAGAGAGAGAAGGGAGAACTTCAGGAGATATTTAACTCGCAAACACAGGATGGGGCTGTGCAAGAGCAGGGAGGGGTGAAGAGATGGGAGTACAAGAAATGTCAAGAATGACTCCCACGTCTGTAATTTACAGGAAATTCACAGAGATACAGATGATGAGCAGCGGGTGGAGGACTGCCCCTGGGCATGGCTGGGGCTCCATGGCGAGGCATCTATCCAGACTGCTGCTTCACACCTGCCGAAGCCACCTCCTTGAACCTGGATAGGGCTCTCCCAAGGCAGGTGGCTGCAGTCACGACCTCAGATGCAATACGGAATTAAGGTTTCTGTCAGGAGGCGCTGTGTTGTTTCCCAAAGTATTAAAACTTGTTTTCTTGCAGAAAGAGGAACACAGAAGAAACGGGTTGGAGGGTGGATTAAAG